GAGCCCCCTCCCCCGCCAGTGCCCCTGGATGAGCTGCGGCTCCATCCTACACCCCGCCCAACCCCAGCTATGCAGCCCCTGCCCCACTCCCTCGCTGCAGGGGCCTTGATCTGCCCCCCATGCTCCTTCCCCCTTCTCCCCAACAGATTTATCAGCTGGCTACTGCTCTCCATGTCAGCCTAAAAAAATCTTTATTGGTGCACTAGTTTCTAGTTCTCTGAAAGCTATTCCATAGGATCCATCTTGTAGGTGTTTCCTATCCATTCTATGTAGCTGAAGCTTAAGAGTAGCTGAAGCTTAAGAGTAGAAAAGAAATTAATACTGTTTTAGTGTAAAAGGAACCTTCCAAAACAGTTATGAAAATTTACTGCATCAGGTGCAAAATCCACTCTCCTACTGTTTTCTGTGATGATGCAATAATCCAGTTCAATTTCTCTCTCTTGGTAAAGGAAAACAGATCAGGTCAGGCAAGTAGAATTTTGACAGATTTGCGAATGCTTAAAGAATAAGGGTATGTTTCTGTTTCAGAAGCTCCCAGTGGCAATTATAAAAAGGACTTTCAGCACATAACTATTTTTATACACAACACTTGTTTTCATTCTGGGCCTGTGTCCCAGTTGTGTTTACCATCTTCTGCACTAATGTCCTGTTCCAGCATAAATCGTGCTGTCACATCAGCTCTTCGAGTGTAGAAACAGTATAGAAAGTGGACTGGCTGGGTTATTATTTGCTATGTATTTATATGGAGTGGCTATATAAAGACTGTCTTTAATACACATTCCTTCTGAGACAGAAGATAAATGTATAACATTTAATAAATATGAAAGCTTATCTTAGGTTTGGGGGGTTTTTTTTGGTGAAAACTTGCCTTAAAATGCTACTTCAAACATAATCTCTTGTTATCTTCACCAGTAGGCAAGTAGGAGTGATATAAGTGACTTCCCAGCATGGCATGCAATGGAGAAGCACAGCTGGAAAAAAATAAGAATTGAATGGTTTGGTTTTAGAATTTGACATTATGCCAAATAACCTTGTTATTTTTTTTAACTTGGGGAAATCAGCAAGTTAATGTGTCTTTCATCTGTTTAACAAAAAAAGCAGTTCTTTAAACTCTTACTGTTTTTAAATAGTAAACATTGTCACATAATCTGACTTTCCTGATGTTGTTCTTTGTGGTTTTTATTACACCTTTTCATTTGAGGCTGGCTTAGTATTTTATAAGCATTAAGTTGATCTGCCTGTGACAGGTACATAATTGTTAGAAAAAATTTACAGGTGATTAAACTGAGGCACAGACTCTAAATTATTTTCCCCAAGATCAAATGATGATATGAGTGGCAGAACTGTGAGAATAGCATCCATTATGTCTGCACAATCCCTTGTTCTCCCAACTAGGTTATACTCCCTCCCTTGAGGGAGAATTGTTTAGGCTGAGACAGATTCTAGTATATATTGCTTATCTGCAGCTTGATGACAGCCTTAAGGCGAAGGCACATAAGACCATTTTAATTACATCTCGCCTTTCAAATACTATTTGGTTTATACACAGTAAAGTGTGTATACACAAATGAAGTGTTTTTCATTGACTAAATGTGTGGGGTAATCCTTTAAATTGTGTATATGAAATTCACATTTTGATAACTAATTGTGCTTAAATATTATGAAGTAGCAACATAATAAAAATGAACAAGTTCTAAGATGAAATCTAAAGAGCTTTTGTATTAAGTTTGTATTCTAATCAAATTATGGTACAAGTATCCTTTGCAATAATTACTTTATCATTGCATATCATGCAAACACATTTTCTTGTTCTGGTAGATTCCAGAAGGTGTAACTGGAGACACAGGAAGGGAACGGACTAAAACATTTACCTATGACTTTTCCTATTTCTCAGCAGACAGTAAAAGCCCAAACTATACATCTCAAGAAATGGTAGGATTTCTAAACTTTATTGATATTTTTTTTTCTTTTGACTGAAAAGATTATATGAAATGTTTTTCCTTTTACAGTTCTACCTGTGCAATTTGGAAATTCCCTAGATGTTTGAGAGTTGCACTGTAGCATAACTAACATTGTAAGTTCTGTGTTTTCTTACAGGACCGACAAAAATGCTTTTCACCTGATTCTCTCTTCTGATTATACTAATAGCCTTCAAATATAGAATTTGAATTTTCTCCTCTTTAAAGCTGAGCCTTTCTAGCCTGATGCCATCACCTATGGTATGAAGGCAATATTTCAAATAAAAGTATGCGATTACATGTTCATTGGATGCTAGTACTTAAATTAAGAGACACACAAATGTATGTGCACAGTTATGTACACCTAACTTTGAAATAAGTGTTTTTTGAAAAAAAATTAGCATGGATACTCTCTACCTTTGGATTCTGTACAAGCAAATTTGGGAAACAGACTGTTAAAATGAAAAAGGAATGTGTATCCTGTTAAAATATAAATGCAGCAGGAATTTTTAGGGGTGCACTAATGTATTGGTTCATATTAGCTTGCCACCAATAAAAGGAAAATTGACATTATCAGCAACTGGCTTTTTTTGGCTGGTGTAGCTGATAATGTCACCAATAAATGCCACATGCATGTGTGCAGCCACACACACGTACGCAGCTAGGAATGCAGCTCAGCAGCTTGGAGAGCAGTGTCCGGCCAATAAGTCTGTAGGGGAGAAGGAATGTGGTGGGGGGGACGATTGAAGCCCTCACTAATGGTGAGGGAGGGAGTTGGGTTGGGGTAAGGGCAGGCTCTGTCTAGCTGGGGTGGGGCAGGGCTCAGAGTGAAGCTGCAGGCAGCTCATGTGGGGGCCGTGGGTGGGAGGAGAGGGGTTGGCTCGCTGCTGCTGTGCACACTACTGTGCGTGGGGTGAGGGCAGGCTGCTTGTTGTAGGCTCAGGGCCAGGAGCTGTGCTGATCTCTTCCTGGTGGTGGGCCTGGAACGAGGCTGCACTTGTGGTGGGCGGGATGGGTGGCAGTGGCATTGGGAGGTGGGTTTATGGGGTGGTTGCTGTAGCATCCCCTTCCAGCACTACCACCACCTGCCCCAAATGCAGCCCCCTGCCAGGAACAGGCTGGTGCAGCCCCTGGTCCCAAGTCTACAGCAGGCCCTTGCCCCACACACAAATCTGGGGGGCACATGCCCAGGGATGTGCTCACTGGCAGGGAGCTGCCCCTCCCTGTACCCCGGGATAAGTTGTCTGCAGCTGCGCCCTGGCCTGGCTGCTCAGTCCCTGCCCCAGCCCCACTCCCTCCCTCACTGTGGAGGCCTTGATCTGCTCCCTCCAGTCCCTTCCCTTCCCCCATGCCCCTCCCCGCCCACAGACTTACCAGCTGAACGCTGCTTTCCAAGCTGCCGGGATGCATGTCGGCTATTGGATTGGTGTTGGCTGGCATATGGCTGGTTAATAATTGGCCATCTGTATTGGCCAAAAAAATCTTAAACAGTGTACCCTAGGAATTTCCATTGGTAATTGAAAGGTCCTTTGGACTCTTTGAATGTAACATTTGGGAATGTTGGCAGGCAGTAATTATGGTATGGGATTTAAAGCTTTAAAAAAACAAAAAAAACTTTCCACAGTAAAAAAAAGAAAAGGGGGGCGGGATTTGAAGCTGAGAATAAATTGTCTTATTGTAATAAAGGCTCTTTTTATTGGTAATTCTAACTTACATAGCTGTCTGATAGGGAATTTCTATCTATAGTTTCACCTGAACTATTTAATACAAAGAACTGGATTCTTTTTTTAAACTTCCATGTTCATTTTATAAACTAATTAACATGTACAACTGCAATTTAATCTAAAGCTTGATTACTTGTAAATTACTGAAACTTCTATTGTACAGTAGTTATCTCTGTTCTCTAGTTCTAAATTTTTTTTTCAGATGTTTTGTTTCTTTTCAAAAATATTATGTTACAGTTCAGGGTAATGAGGGAAATTTGGGAAACAAATTAAGTAAACATAACCATAAAAATATAGGTGCCTTATTCTGTAAAGCTTTCCTGTTCAGATAGAGTGTTTAAATCTTATTGACTTCATTGATGCTCTAGCAAATGCTTTAAGTTTAGGGGAGTGTTTTGCCAGAAATGGAATGGATTTAATGATGTATTTTGGGTCTTTTCCAAATTGAGAACTGAGGTTTTGGCTCTGGTCTGGCAAACACAACATAGGTTTAAGAAATGTTTAAGTCCATTGGGATGAATGGAACCAACTCATTTAGGTGCTTATTAGTGCTTTAGTCTGTGAGTATGTGGTTACATGAGCAATGATAACTAATTATCTTGCTGTTCAATTCCTGCTCCTAAAATACCTAATTGTGTGTGGAATAAAATCTTTTTATTGGTACACATTTGAGAAGATTTGCATCGGGATAATTACAATATCTTAAGGTTTTGATGATAAGTATTCATTAACTTTTATGTCTGTGTGCCTTCTCCATTTCCTTTATCTTTCTCTGCCCATCCTCAGAAATTGATAGGTTTGGTAGTGTAAATGCTTTATGAAATATGCCCTTGCCAAATGTTCTTGATTTTAATAGGTAAGCTGCTTATGTAGATTCAATAGTACTATTCCAGTATGCCTAAGAAATGTGTATGCATACATACATACATTCATGGATGGATGTGCACATATTCACACATGTGCATATAATAATTTTACAGAAATAAAATATTGAGTAGTGATGCATTCTTGGATTTTGTGTCAGCTGCTTTTTTCACCAGAGCCATTACCTGCTGCTGTGTGTCTGACCTTCAAAATCTGGGTTTTTACTAGTATAACATATTGATTTTTTTTTTTTTTTTAAACCCTCCCTTGCAAAAGAAAATCTTTCAACGTGAACTGAATGTGAAGTGATGCATAAGCCCTGTCCTACACTAGGCTTTTTTGTGGTACCAAAAAAAAAAATTGCAAATAAAGTTGAGATGTGCGTATAGAGTATCCTGGAACAATAAGTTTTAGAGGCGTGGAGTCTTCCATTTACAGGAATAATGTGTTAACTCAGAATTCTACATGTGACATTTTATCCACAATCTTTATTCAACTACTTCCATCTGATGTTGGTATCTCATAATCACAGCCTGAATCCCAGCATTTTTGGGCACCAAAACTCCCAACTCTTATCTGACCAGCTGCCAAAACCTCCATCCACAATCTTGCTTTTTGTTAATTAAAATGTGTGGAGCACATAGAAACTATATCAAATGAAGCTTCAAAATAAATAAGGCAGAGGCCAATTTCTTGCTTATATTATTCGTTTTCATAGTTTATTAATTGAAAACATTCATATTTTAGCTTTTATATCAAACTAGTGCAGAATTTTCAGTTTATTGCACCAGCCTCATAAAAGCTGGGTATCTTCCTTTAGAGTTTGGATTCATATTGCTGTGAAGCACAGTGGATCCTGCCTCCTAGCTACTTGTATTAGTAGCACATTTGGTTCATAGTTAAGCAGCTGAGTGATAAATGAAAGGGTGTCTAGTTTTATATGTCTTCTCAGTGCCCTCTTGTGGCCATAAATTGTGCTACACTGACTTAAGCATTAGACCATGAGCTGCAATTTACCTGCAAATTTATAACTAGATATCTCTGCAGCAAAATTGGAGGGAGTTTTTTGATTACTTATACTGGTCGTTAGAAATGACCAGCAATGTAAGCTAAGTGGTATATTTTGTTAAAGCCTACATTTTGAGGAATAGTCCAGAATGGTAACCTCCTATTCCTTGTGTCTAGATGTGATTGAACTTAACCTTGATTTTAATATTGTTAAGGGAAATGTAATTTGTATAATCTTCAATATCTTCTTTCCTATAAACTTCTTCAAATAATTTAACATGAGAGATTTTTAAACAGAAATATTTACAGTAAGAAGAACATATAGAGCAAAATGGTTGCTTTTTGCTCAGATTTGAATTGGGCTTGATTTGATTTGCATAGGACAGAGCTACTGAAAGTCTGTCTTTGGTAGGAATTGGAAAGAAGGCATTTTACCTTTTGCAGTAGCCAGGTTGTCTAGTGAAAAATAAAAGGTGGGAGAAAAATTAATAGAGTGTGAATAAAAGAAGACATAATGAGGTAGGTTTGAACAAACCCACAGAGGGTTTCTGAAAAGGAATAGTTATTAACTAGATTCTAAAATGAAAGATATGTTGATGGAATAGTTTGAGAGTAATGCACTTGCTCCTTTGTGAGAATGTGGAAAAATGGTTAGTAACAATTTGCATGTGCTAGAAGGCTGATATTTGAGGACCAGCCAAGGCTACAGGAAGCATTAAGTAGAGATGAGAATTTCAGCAGGCACTGCAGAGATGGTGAGATGAAGACATAAGCATAGCACTCTTGAAGGATGGAAAAATAAAATTCAGGGTGATATTGAGGTAGGGGGAGCAGGAGTTTAGTTAACCAAGGAAGTACTTGTCAAATAAAATAGCAGGGGGCGTGAATTGTGCTTAAGATTATCTAAGAATAGCCCTTCAGTCTGAGCTATGTAATTGAAGAGGACTGCAACAGAAGTACAGCTTTTTTGTTAAGGTGCAGGTAGAATTATGAAGGTGTCAAAAGAAGTTATAGTTAAGTATCATCAATGTTAATGTTTAATCCTAGCCAACATGCTCATCATAATCGTGATAATAGTTGACCCTCTGCTTCTCTTTTACTTGTATCAGATTTCAGAGGACAGTGTTTTGGATACTCCTTTGCATTGCTATCAAACTTCAGGGCAAGAGGGTTTGGGATGAGCTAAATAGGACTGGTACCATAGCTGAAAGGAGCTGGGAACACCTGTGTTTCTGTGCAGATAATTCAGAGAATGGGATAGAGGAGGGACTGAGAGAAAGTCACTGACTACATAGAACACCAATTTTTGTGCTTCTAAACAGATGGAAACTGAGACTGAACTCAAAGGTGCTGTTGGTGAGAGAGGAAAAAAAAAGACTACTTGCTTCATACACTTGGCTGAAAAAAAGCCATTAAATATGAAATGTGCTGACAGGATCAAAGAAGGATTTTCTTTTTAGGAAGTGAGTAGACACTTGCAGAGTCCTTATAGTTGGAGAAGATACCGGAGTTAAGTAGATATTTACAATAGTAAGATAGAAAGATAGTCAATACAGTGTCTGAGATCAGATGAAAAAATTGAAGAGGGAAGTCTGACATAATTTAAAGAGTGTCTTTCCAATTCTGTATGTCAGCAAGTTATGCAGTTGACAGGACCAAAAGTGGAGGAAAAAGACTGTGGCACTACTGAAAGCTGAATGCACCACTAACATTTTGTATTACATTAGACTCCTTGATGCTTATTCATTTAGAGCAAATATCTTTGGTCAAAGGTGGTATGTGCTAATAGAGCCATGGTATTATATAATATTTACAGTTATTAATTGAATGGAATAATATAATCAATGTATACCTGTTTCTTTTCTTCAAAACCGCATGATCCCCTTAAGCCTTTTTTTCTTTTTAGGTTTTCAAAAATCTTGGCACAGATGTTCTCAAATCTGCTTTTGAAGGTTATAATGCTTGTATTTTTGCATATGGACAGACTGGATCTGGGAAGTCCTACACTATGATGGGAAACGCAGTATGTTGTATTTTCAAACTTTTATTATGTAGTAATACTTTCCAAAAGGAATGCTGTTATTCTCTGTCTGGTCTGCAAACTGTGGATTTATTTTATGACTAACTTGTTAATAATAACCTGAGTTTTAGACATTTCCTTTTAGTTTTTTTAGAATAAATTTTAAATGGGAAGAAATCCATTTAAATGTTGCCCTGTTATATCTAATAATAAACCCTCCTTTGTGCAGCACAGATCAGAAGTTGTTTTTTAGTTCAGTGACTGGTTTCAGGTGGCTAACTTGAAGTGACCCTAATATATATTTTTTTTTATGATACTGGTACTGACTCAGTGCTTTCTGTAAAAGCCTATTTGTTCCTCCCTCATTCAGTGGGGTTAAGAAAAATAAAGATGGTTCCTTGATTCCTATTTGGACAAGAATTTCAAGTTGAGAATTGAAGTAAGAATGATAGTAGTGGGTTGAAGCTCTGACTCAGTCATTATGAAATATTATGCAGACCTTACTTTAAGGGATAACATTCAGGTAAACTGTAGCTTGGGGCTCCTAGCAGGGGAATGTCCAGTACCAGATTGTTGCCTCTATTGTATGAAATACTTGCTTAAAGAAAGAAGGAAGTGGCTGAGGAAAGGTGGTGAAGGGAGCAGCCAAAGTCTGCTGATTGAGTGCATCTAAGAGGTAGTCCTTATAGCAATGCTCCCTTTTAACCCTGGTTAAATAAAAGCTGCCTTCCTCTAGCAGAAGCCAGGAAGAATATATTGCCACTTACCCTACTTTGGATAAATCTGTCTTTGAGCCATAGTGGGGCCAGGTAATTTGAACCTTCCTGAGCTGCTAAGAGCAAACTTGGTTTCATTTTTATACCTCTGGTACACACAGAATAAGCTTTATGTATGTTATGAGGAGTCTCCATTATGGTGAATTAACAGAGTGGAATGTGGAGGCCAGAAAAAAATTTATGACTTGGGTATCTAAAATGATGAAAATAGAGTGCTAAGGAACATGTAGAACATGTGAGACTTCCTGTAAATTTAGGGACTATTTTGCACAAGAAAGGTGTAAGTGGCAATGTTACTTTAACCCTGTGAGAATAGTTTTGGTTGTGCATCATAAATGCTTTAATTTGGCTCTGAACTTTGGGTTATATCATCTACTTGCCTCCCAGAGTCTCAGGTCAGATGTTTTCAAATGACTGGCGCTTTCAGCTAGACAGCAGTTAAAGGAAACCTGTGTTAAAAGTACATTTCTTTTTCATGTTTTTCCTTAAAAATCAAAACTATTTGAGGGAGTTATCACTGCATTTGGGTTTAAAGTTCTGTTAACAAATATGCAATGGTTGTCAACTTCGTGAAGGTGCCCTAATTGCATTTGGGAGAAATTACAGAAAAGGTATGTCTCTACTGTGTCTGTGGAGTGCTCAGCTTCACTGCTGAGGAAATAAGTCCCAGTAAATTGCTCCCAATCTACATACATTAACTCCAGAAAGTGGGTAGTGAGGATACTGGCACTCTTGAGAGCACCAGGAAAATAGAACATGAATGTATTTCTGGGGGCCCTAGCACACATTACATTGATGGCATGATTAACACATTAATTTCATGAGAAGTAGTAATATTGCCATGCATTCACCCAATTTATGATGCTATATAGTGGCAAACCAGCCATAATGATATTCTACATAAAATGTGGAACTTGGTCATATCTGGTTTGTATGGCACCATAAATGGAACATGTGACACATCCCCATCCTGATGCTGACAGACAGCTAATTGTCAGCATTGGCATTAGGACTGGGACTGAAAATGGGCTTCTGAGTGCATGGGTTGCGAGGTTCCTAGTAGGGGGAGCTGAGAACTTCCCTTAATCTGGCATTTTAAAGATAGGAGCTGGGGGGCAAGGCAGACAACGAGCCCAGTCATGGAGAGCCCCTCACTAGGAATCTTTCAAGCACAATTGATTTGCAAGGTTCCTGTTCAAATAAGGTGCGATTCAAATTGGTCCCTGATCCTGAAAATGGCACGTCCTATGATATACAGCATGGCAGGAAGCATGATTGTTGGGATTGGGGATGAGATCCCAAACCATCATTATTTGAGCATCTCCCAGTGCTCTGGGGGTGTCCTGAGTTTGTCCTTACTACTTCATTTTCAGCATTGTTATGTGTGTAGTGAGCAGGCAGAGCTTATTTTCTTGATGGCATGAATGAGCACTCAGCTGCCACAGTGTTATTGTAAATCCCTTGATAAGAGGCTGATAGTCTTCCAGTAAAATCAGGAAGTCAGTGGTGAGTCCATAAATGACTGAGGAGGTCAATCTTAGATCTGCATGTTTAGGTCAGTTGCAGAAGAATATTTTTGTTAGGAGGGAGTACATGCAGGGCACAGCTCTCTGCCTTTATCTCTTTTGTCTGCCTCCATAGTGAGGTGAGTTTGCTTGAAATGGCAATGCCTTGTTGTACATTGTGGCACCACTGGGACAATTCAGTGGCCAAGTCTCTCAGGTATTGATGTTAATATCATGTTTCTTCAGATTGGCCTTCATGGTGTTTTGAATCTCTTCTTTTGCCCACTTCTAGAGTACTAGCCATCAGTGAATTGGGACTATAGGACCTATTTTGGGAAGTGGTTTTCAGGCATCCTTAAGACGTATCCTGTCCAATGGACCTGGTGCCATATGTACATGGCTTCAATGCTGGTGGTGTTTTCTTGAGCCAGAATGCTGGCATTTGTTTTTCTGTCCTTCCAGTTGATACTGAGGGTTTTCTAAAGACAGTGCTGATGGTAGTGTTCCAAAGTTCCCATGTGTTTCAATATGCCATCCAAGTTTCAGACCCTTTTACAGTTTAGGGCTGACAATAGCCTGGTAGCTGAGAAGATTGATCTGGGTTATGATCACTGAAGATATGATTTTGGAGATGTCCAAAGGCAGCACTGGCAGATTTTATCCACTACAGTACTGCATGTTGTTTCCTATGTTAACTTTTTGGGAAAGGTGGCTAACCTGGGAGGAGAAATGCTCAATATTCTTCAAGGATGGTTCTCTAATTGCAATATGTGAACGAGCAGCTGGATGGTTTGGGATGGGTCAGTAAAGAATCTTGTTTTTCCTGAAGCTGACAACAAGTCCAAGCATTTCATATGCTTCACAGAAATGACCAGGAGTGACCTGGAGTTCTTCAGTTGAGTGGGCACATAGAAGAGTCATTCATGTATTGAAGATCAGTAATGGAGGTGTTGGTTATATTGGATCTGGAATGTAACCAGTTCATTCTAAAGATATGTCCATGTGGTATTGGATGCTGATTCCAGATGGAAGTCTGTCAGCAATAAGATGCAGAAGAGCTGTCATACAGACGAAAATGAATGTTTGTGCAATCGCATATTCTTTCTTGACACCAGTTCTAATAGTGAAAGGATCCATTTTCAAGCCATTCCTTAGGATGCTTTCTGTCATGTCATCATGGAGTCTGATGTGATGGTAATAAATTTTCTTGAACATCCGGATCTCATCAGGATCCTCGATAGGACCTCTCTTTTGATTGAATCAAAAGCTTTACTTAGGTAGTGAAGGCTGTGTAAAGATCTTGGTGTTGCTCACAGCCCTTCTGCAGCAGATCTTGTCTTCTGTACCTCTGAGTGGTCTGAAACCACATTGGGACTCAGATGAAAGCTCCCCAGTGACGAAAGTGAGTGTATTGAGGAGAATACAGGCATGACTTTCGCAGCTATGGACAAGAGTGCAATAGTAATAGCTGCGATCTGATCTGTCTCCTTTCTTGAATATGGTTATGATTTTGGCATCTCTCAAGTCGCTGGAAATTTGTTCTTCATAGTAACAGTGTATTAGGTGGGAGCTTTTTTCCACGTTGCTTATACATTTCAGCTGGTATTCCATCAGGACCACTGTGCTTTGTTGTTTTTTATCTGCATAATGGCTTTCAAGGCCTCTTGATAAGCTGGCGCAAAGTAATCCTTAATGGGGTGCCGTGGAATGGTCTCAATGTTATTGTCTTCAACATCAGAATCTCAGTTCAGGGGCTTTTGAAAGTGCTGCTTCCACTGTGTGTTGGTGATGGAGCTGTCTTGAAAGCTTGTTGTTCTATCCTTGGACCTCAGAGGAGCGGTGTCTTGTTTGTTTGGACCACAGATAGCTTTGGTTGCACTGAGGAAACTGGTCCTGGCTATGGGTAAACTTGAATCTCTTTTGACTTGTCTTCCTACCACTTATTCTTTGGCTCTTAAATTTTCCTCTGCATCTCAGTTTAGGTGGCAACAAATGTCTTGCTTCTGTTTGGAGTTGATGTCATTGTGCTAAGCTTTGAAGGCTGTCCCTTCTGTCAAAGCTTGTATTTCTCTGTCATTCTCATTGAACCATTCCTGATATTTCTTTGTGGAGAAGCCTTGAGGTTTTTTGCATGCCTTGTCGATGCGTTTCTTGAGGCTGTCCCACTGATCAGTGGTGTTGAGATCATTAGGGAGGTGGGAAAGTTTTTCACTGAGGCTCGGCAGAAGACGATTGCTTTTATCAGGGTCTTTCAAGCAACTGATAATTGAACCTCTTCCTTGGTTGCTTCTTTCATTTTCATCATTTTTGTTTTTGGATTGCTATTAGTTTAGAAACCGTGCCCTTGATCTTGCTACCATGGGTAACTGTAACCAGGAGTGCAAGACTCCATTACAAGACATGCAAACCTCTCTACCACATCAAGATGATTATTCCCTTCTATTTAGCACTGATGAGGCCACATCTGGAGTAATGTGTCCAGTTTTGGGCCTCCCACTACAGAAAGGATACAGACAAATGGGAGACAGTTCAGCAGAAGGCAAAAAAATGGTTAGGGAGCTGGGGCACATGACTTCTGAGGAAAGGCTGAGGGACCTGGCTTATTTAGTCTGGAGAAGAGAAGACTGAGGGGATTTAATAGCAGCCTTCAACTGTCTCAAGGGGGGTTCGAAAGAGGATGGAGCTAGACTGTTCTCATTGGTGGCGCATGACAGAGCAAGGAGCAGTGGTTTCAACTTACAGCAGGGGAAGTTTAGGTTAGATATTAGGAGAAATTTTCTCACTAGGAGGGGAGTAAAACACTGGAACAGGTTACCCAGAGAAGTTGTGAAATCTTCATCCTTGGAGGTTTTTAAGCCGCAGCTAGACAAAGCCTTAGGTGGGATGATCTAGTTGAGGATGGTTCCTGCTTTGAGCAGAGGGATGAACTAGATGACCTCCTGAGGTCCCGTTCATCCCTAATTTTCTATAATTCTAAAGTTGTGATCCGTGGGAGGAGCCACAGTGTGGAATTACAATAGTCTGTTTAATTTGCAAAATTAAAAGCAGTGGATTAAAGACTGTGTTAATGTGTTACTGTAATTGCTTGTAGGTTGCCTGCTGGTTTAGACTTGTGTGTAAATGTTTAGTTAATTTTAATAAGAAATATATCTATGTGACTGACAGGAAAACATAAGAAAACAAATTTATGGCTACATGATGTATACATTTTTATTTTTCCTTGATTTTATACTTATTTTAAATGTAGTAGAGCTGTCTGTGTTTCTGCTTGCCCAGCATTTCATGTTTTAAGACCCTGTTTTAGTTGCTTATAACTATATTAAATCTAAATTAGATGGGCTGATTCTTTCCATATTCATCATCTGCTTCAGGCTAAAATTCTCTTGAAAGATTTGCTTAGAGCTGCTTACTATTTGCCAAGACAGAGACAGCATTTTTAAGCCATGTTTAAAAACAAGATGGAAAGAAGCTTTGGAGCAGGACTTAGGCATTTGGCAGGGCATGGCAGCCTTTCTGTTAGCCAGATATGACTCAGTTTTAAGTCTGTAAAAAAATCTCTGAGAAAGGAAAAGAGGCATGGCTCCTTGACTGAAATACAGAGGGATGAGGAGTTGGGCTAGAGAAAGAGGGACTAGATTGCATCAAGGAGAGAGACCACCCTGGAATGGGCAGGATGGAAAGGCCATGACTGCAAGTATGAGGAGGAAATTCAGACAGTGGAAATTTGAGACTGGGAGGTGGGCAGCAAAGACAAATTATATGGGAACCCAGTAATGTAACTGAGGAGGGATAGCTGGGGCAGCAGCCCTGGGGTATCACATTTTTAAAATACATCGCACACAAAAAATAATTGCAGCTGGCTGGGCCAGTGCTGATGGCACTGATGCTGCCTAGTGGGCTGAAGTTACTCAGTTTGTGGTGTTACCCTGCTATACTTCTGGGGGAACTAGACAGGGGGAGTGGGTTGGGTCTAGCTGAGGAAGAAAGGAAGAATGAGGAGGCCTGAGAAGAATTGAAGTTGGCTGAGAGTGAGAAGAGATTGGTGGGAGGAGAGCCTGGCTTGAGGAGGTGGCATCTTAGAAGAGGCAGGACAAGCATAGGATACACTGGAAAGGAAGTAGGCAGAAAGCATCAGGTTTGAGATGAAAAGGAGAACAAAAGGGCTGTGTCTTGTTCCTAGTATCTCAGCGGTCTTCTGTTGTGAAACCCTCTGGCAATGTATGTCTCATACCCCTTTAGTAGCTGTTCTATATAAAAGATGAGGGGTTCCTCTGTTAGTTCAAGCAGCAGAAGTCTGTGCAGTGGATATATGAGGGTTACCACTATGTTGATGAGCCACGTGGGTTATAGCACAATTCCTTGTGATGGAGTTTCCTTGCTTTGTAAAATCCAAGGAAACTGCACACACACAACTATTGAAAGCAGGTTGGAAATTCAAGCACTCAGAAGTAAAGACATCAGAATTATGGTTGTTTTAGGTTGTCTCCCTTGTAGATATGTCTTAAGTATGGTGTTACATACTTTTACCTACAGAACTCCAGGCTCACGTAGTGTACAGAAAGAACTACATTTCAGGGATGAATAAGGATTATGTAGAGAAGAGGGCCATTATCTGGAGGGCTTGAACCTCTTACTGGAAACAATGGATGGTGTGTAGTGAATGGGTGGCGTTATAGATGAGCAATGGACTCATGGTTAAGATGGGTGAATGATGCTTTGGAAAAACTGTTTTTATTTGTTGGGCTGCATTTGTGCTCCAAATAGTTGGAATATGTGTGGGCAGGAAGGCTATAAAGTATAGGCAAAACCAGTGAGTTAGCGCCAGGATTCAAATTGCAACATCGTTAATTTCTAATTTGTTTTTAAAGTGAAATAGAATAAGAATACAGCTATTAAAAATGTGCTTGTTGTATATCAAGTTCTCTGACTCTGGATATTGTCACTTGCATCTTGTGATTTGGGGAGTTTGTTTTTTTTTAAATATGCAGTGTGTTTGAGTATATGTGCATATAAAAATTATGTTGCAGGGTGATGTTGGTTTAATACCTCGAATTTGTGAAGGATTGTTCAGCAGAATAAATGAAAAGACAAGATGGAATGAGGCGTCCTTCCGAACAGAAGTCAGGTAAGTCTTGTAGTTGTTATATCAGTTGCTGATTAATAGAGCCATTTTTGTTACAAATTTCTATTTTCACTTTTTAGTATCTCTTGGAAAAATGTGTTTGTTTGAATGCATCTTTTTATGTTTATCCCCAAAACAGATTTTTGTTGAATGCTGTCATCAAATGTGTGCAGTAGTTCTCTATGCTTCCCATTGCACCTGCCACTATTTATGATATGAAAATTAATTTTCTGTTATAAAGCATCTTTGTCCCAATTGCCTTTTCCCAGCCCATGTCCTGCTCTTTCACATGTTCACACACATCCTCACTTTTATTTTTCTGCCTCTCTTCTTCTCACAGATCAAGCATATTTTAATCTTTATTATGTTAAAAATAAATAGCCAGTCTTAACCTGACCTGCTCTTTTAGTGTCCCTCTGTCTCCCTTCTGTTAGTTCATTACGAACTTATTCTTTCAGTAATTTTTGCTTTTAAAATTTGTATGATTTGATACTTTTCTGAATTCCAATTTTTTTTTCAGTTATTTGGAAATCTATAATGAACGTGTGAGAGATCTTCTTAGGCGGAAGTCTTCAAAAACATATAATTTAAGAATACGAGAACATCCAAAAGAAGGGCCTTATGTTGAGGGTAAAAAACTAAGTCCTTTGAACTTCCTTGATACTTTCAGTTTCTATGTTTAATTATATAACCTTTCCTTATTTTAAAGTTGTAAATAGATGTGAAAATGAAGAATAACATGGATCATCATCCTAAGACCTTAATGGGGAACAAGGTTTATTTTATTTTGAACCCTTTTAAAGTATAGGTTTCCCTCGCTTTATGCTGTTCCTGGAAAACGGTCCAAAACTCAAATTTGCATAAAGGGAACCCGCTTTACAATGTAATGAATAGGGATACATTCCAAGACCTCGACTGTACTGACCTGCAGACCCATTTCTACCACTTTTACAAGGCAATTTTGCTATTCACCAACAGCAGACTGCACAGAAGCACAGGGTGGTGGTGCATGTTTAGTTGGTGTGAAGAGAAGCTGGTGAAGGGTCTTCAGTGGCAGACTCCGCATCACTGGTAGGAGGTACAGAACCAGAGAGAGGGGTAAGGAGATAAGCTGGCGGGACATTTAGAAGCCGTAATTGGGATGGCAACTACAGAAACGCGTGTTGCAGACAAGGAGCGAGGAGCACAGATCCGCACAGGAGTATATTTTGGTGCGTGTCGCTCCCACAGTGCCACGGACAAAGCAGCTGACTGCGGGCTTCCACCACACTGATCCCATAAGAGTGAATTTACCTTACATATAACAAATTTTTGGCATAAAAGGGGTCATCGCATAAGAGCAAATTCGCACATACAGAGCCCGCAAAAAGTGAGGGAAACCTGTAAAGCAGTATTTTGCAGTAGGAAATCTATGCCATAGGAAATCTGTGATATTGGATCTAATTTAGAAATGCAGGTGTGTGTCCCTTGAGAGATTACACATCTACCTGCTTTATATACTTAACGAGGTTTGCATTTTTCTCTTTAAGCTAATCCACTGCAGTGTATTTATAATAAATATATTGTTCAATATAATATTATATGCAGTGTATTAAGAAGGACTGTCTGGTATTTTTCTTGCAAGGCCTTATTCTTTCCTTTAAGAGAGATAAAGGAAATCTTATTATAAATGCTGGCTGTGAAATTGCAGCACTGCTGTATAGCATTGTGGCAGAGTTGAATTTTGTTGCCATACGTTCATAAATGTCCTTTAATTGCTCTTGCTTCTGTTCAGATTTGTCCAAACATTTAGTACAGAATTATACGGATGTAGATGAACTTATGGAAGCAGGAAATATAAACCGAACCACTGCTGCAACTGGAATGAACGATGTTAGCAGCAGGTCTCATGCCATTTTCACGATCAACTTCACTCAGGTATAGAGACTTGCCTTGATTTTTAATGCCCAGTTCCATGTAACAGCTTAACTTACAAAATGGAATATATAGTTGTCAGATCAACAGCTTGAGGAGAGCTAGTTACCTCTATTGTTGACTGTATCAGAGAAATATTAAAGCAGCAGTCAACTGTTGAAGGTAGGCTTTTACCAGTTACTGTCTGTTTGGAAACTTGGACTTGAGAGTAACTTTATCAGGTATGGACAGGTGAAGTACTCCAATTTGCACTTCAGCTTTGTGCAGATGCATGGTCCCTTTCCCCCAACTCCCTCCCCAATCCTTTCTTGAGCATTTCAAAATGGTCGCGCAGGTAGGGCTAGTGCTTTTCAGGCAGGGGGATAGAGAACAGGAATTCATACATGTCTTTGTCTTCCATATCTGGAGGCTTCCAAGAACCTTCTGTCACATTTTCCACCTGTAGGGATAGGTGGGAAGTGGAGTATTATTGGTTGTGGGAGGACTGTGCAAACACCTATAGGGCTCTGATGGAAGGTACAACTATTTAGGGACGTGCTTCAAAAATGCTCTCTTTTTTCATGGGTCATTTTTGGAGCACTTAGTGGGGTATGAATGTCTATACTCTGGCTGTTTGTAGTGCTTCAGAGGCAGTTGGAGCTCTTCAAACAGCATGTCTGTCCATGGCCCGGGAGGAAAGATGCTGGCCTGAATGTACAATTTGCTTCTTCATTTTGTCAAAACTGTGTGCCACAATGAATTACTCAGCTGAAATCTTATGGAGAAGGATAAGAAGCCAGCCAACAAATGATCTTAATGTATTGAGCATTGGGGGGATTCTGTGAATTTAAATTTGTATTAACAGATTCATACTAAATTTTAGAAATAGGAGGAAGTTGTGGTTAAGATCCTAGGGTTAGAAATGTAAAATCATGAGGGCGCTCCTACAAAATAGGGCTTTTGGAAATCTGAATGAAAACTGTGTTAGCTAATATCTAGATTTATAGCTGAGAGCTTAATATAAATTCTGTATGTGGGTTATGGTGTACAGCTCTGTATACGTGGTACCCAAGTTTGAATGTAGGCTTAAGGGATATGGTTATTTGTACCTATTTTATAGAATGAGTTACTTAAATGAATATCTTGTAGTGGCTTGTGATCATTCAAGCTCCTTTCTGGTCTGTTTCTTGTATACCTGTTCTCTGAAGCCCTGTTAGTCTAAGCAAATTACATTAAGACATGACAAAGAAAGGGCAATCGATCTGTATTCAGTAAGATTTCAGAGCTTTATAGCTTAACAATTTTTGAAAATGATGGGTTTTTTTTGTATTTTTCTTTAGGCTAAATTTGATTCTGAGATGCCTTGTGAGACTGTTAGCAAGATTCATTTGGTAGATCTTGCTGGAAGTGAGAGAGCAGATGCCACTGGTGCTACAGGGGTTAGATTAAAAGAAGGAGGGAATATTAACAAATCTTTAGTTACTCTGGGAAATGTCATTTCTGCCTTAGGTATGTCTCTCTCTCTCTTTTTTTTAAAGTGCCCTCATCCCTCATATCTATCTGCATTTTTGAAGAAAATTAATGAAAACATATCACTTTTATTTCTTCTCTCAGCTGATTTATCTCAGGATGTAACAAATTCTCTTGCAAAGAAGAAGCAAGTATTTGTGCCTTACAGGGACTCTGTGTTGACCTGGCTGTTGAAAGACAGCCTAGGAGGAAACTCAAAAACTATAATGATTGCCAGTAAGTGTTTAAATTACTTTCCTACATGCTTAAAAGGATTAGTTGTAAATATTTAGATTCTAAATACTTCATTAGGAAATGACACTATTTATACTCCTCAGTGATCTCTTTGAAGGGAATACTTTTCAAATATCTACTCTTTAACCGTGCTGTTTCTCTTAATGTGTGTGGTGCATGTTATCTTAAAGAAGTTGGAGAGAGATAGCATGTACTTCCAGCAGTAAACTGAAGGCATAAAGAATTGTGCTTGCACCAAGGGATCCTGATTTTGTGCTTGCACCAAGGGATCTCTGGGACCTGAGTGAGGGACCAGTGCCAACCCCTAATTGCTTCTCAGTCTGGAGTCCTTGGTGTGAGTCTGCCTGGGAATGAAAGAACTGGGTTAGCCCACTCTTTCCCCACACTGGGAACACCCTGGTCTCAAGAAGGTGCAGAGAGCAGGGGAGAGAGGATGGTTCCGAGTTGAATGTCTGTATTGCTCCTTCTTGTGGAATCACTTCTAGTGATGGAAACAAGTTGTATGTGGCTTGTGTCTGACTGGTCATGAGTGTGCATGCAGTCATTAGTTTTTCACTTCCCTGAGTAGTGTGTGCATAACTATGAACCCACTCTGAAAAATATCTGACTCTACCTATTCCATTCTCCATTGTTCATTTTTTGTGTGTATATGTATTTGTGAATCTGTAGTAATTAGCTTAGCTGATCAATAGATCCTCAAATCAAAGGTCCATCCAGTACATATACATTCCAGACACAGAATAAATATCCAACCTGGTACATTCAATCACCAGTCTAAAAATGAAATCTTGCTTTTCTTTTTTCCTAGTCTGTATTATCACCAGTAATAAAGATCTTACATTACTAATTTAGTCAGTAATTCTGTTGATGTGGGAGAAAATTTCTCAAGACTGTCTCTGCTGCATTAATATGGGAAAATAGTTCCTTATTTACCGGAATCATAGACAGCTTCAAATTTTAAGATGACCCCCCCCACCCAATAATTAAACTCTATACATGGATTATTATAAATTTGTTATATTTTTTCATGTATAGAATATCATTATTGGAGAGCTGTTTTAAATTTGTCCCCCAGCTGCTGTGGCAGGGAAAGCAGCAGCAGGAGGTGAAGGGCCCTGTTCCTTAACTTCCTTGCCTGTCTCTCTGCCCCTTGTCCTTCCTCTTGTGCTGGTGCCTGCCACCTGTCCTGCTGCTTACCCCCTGCCTGTGCTCTATGCTCTTTGCACCCACCCACATGTGCCTGTGCCTGATCCCTGTTACCTGTCCCCAACCTCTGTCTGTGCCTGACCTCTGCCACCTCCATCCCCCATCCCTCTCTGTGCTTACCTTTGCTTGCAGCTCTCCTCTGGCTCAAGGGCAGTTGAAAGCAGTGGCAGCTCTGGGCTCAGCCAGGTTGAAGAGTAAAAAAGTAGCAGAAGGTAAGTGGTGGGAAGGGCAAGCTGGGGCTCTTTGTACCACCCCCTATGCCCTGAATGGTCTCTCCCACATTGCCCTAGCTGTGTGCTCACTCCCATGCCACTTTGGCCCAGGTCAGGCAGTGGGGCCAGCTGTGGTTTTGGGCCTTGGTGAAGCCAGAGCTGAGCCCCAGGCCAGTATGCAAATCTAAAATGAGCCTTTTTCCCCTCCTTGTTTTGGGAGGGGGGAGCCCTTGTCTTGGATTGGAGTAAATATGATAGTTTGAACCATTTAAATTAAGAATATACTTAGGAGGCAGCACTGATTGAGAATGTGTATTTTTATATAAGATGCCAGGTTCTCTTTATGGACACTGAGCATTTTAAGTTGTGCTAAACTTTATGTTTTATACTCAGTTCTTTTAACTGTGTTCACAGCCCTTCTCATTCCACAATTTTGTCAGCCTGTTAGGAGAGGGAGGGAGGGGAAACAACAAGCTAAAGAAATAAAGCCAGGATAAGGTTAAATATTGGCACGTTCAGGAGTAGAAGTGTTGAGGTGCACTGGACAGTTCAAAGTTATTAAGGATCTTTTTTACTCTCTACTCACATAAGTGTCATGTAGGCCAACCTTAGTTACCTTTTGGGATTTTGGTTGGTAGAGAGCAGTTTGAATGAGTGGTGTGTAATCAATAAGATACTGGTTCTTTGTTCTGAATTGCTTGAAAGATGCATGTTCCCAGAGTAAATGCTTCTGTATGCATGAGCTTGGAATTTTCCATGTGCCAGTTTCGGAAGCATAGCTGCAGGCTTTAGTTAGTTTTTTCTGGGTGCATCTGCACATGCTATTAATGCGATTGAATAAACTCCAGTGCAATTTGCACCAGTTTATTGCTCCTACGCACTGTTTACACTTGTGCCTGGGACCACAGCATGGTGAGCTGGGTCAGAGCAGCCTCAGCCGGCAAGAGGTCTGGGGGAGTCAGCCTGCTAGCCCTGGGCTGCTCCAACCCAGCTCAGTGTGCTATGAAGGGGCTGGTTGGAGCACAAGTGTGATCCAGTGTGGGGCTAGCCAGCAGGCAGCCCCCCACACTGAAGTATCTTCATGCCCCAGCCAGCCTTGCTAGCATCTACAGATGTATTGCAACTCACTAACACTTATGTTTACAGGTACTAATCTATGGCGGCATGTATTAATTTAATGCAGCCTAAGAGGGCTGCATGTGTAGATGCTGAGACTTTATTGTGGAGCTAATTAGTCAGCTCCTCAATAAATGTCTTGTGTAATGCATCCTCTGACAGTCATAGAGAACTCACAGCTTTTTTTCTTGTTAGAAGCAAGTACCATGCTAGCCTCCTCTTAGATAGATTCATCGGTTGTAAGGGGCTTGAAGGGACCTTGCAAAATCATTGGTTCCAGCACCCCTTCACTAGGCAGGCAAGACAACTGGGGTCAGGTGACCCCAGTGAGGTGACAGTACAGTTTCCTCTGAAAGGTTTCCAGGGTAGGTGATTGCACCACCTCTGGAGGGATTTTATTCCACAGTGTGGACACTCTAAATGTGAAGAAGTTTTTCCTTAGTGTCGAGCTTGAAACTGTCTTCCAGGAGTTTGTGGCCATTACTCCTGGTTTTCCCCCAGGGTGCTCTGGTAAACAGTTGTTTTCTGAGCCCTTGATGTGTTCCCCTGATTTAGCAATAAGCTGCTACCAAGTCCTGTCTCAGCTTTCTCTTTTTTAGGCTGAAGAGACCCAGGTCCCTCAGCCTTTCCTTGTATGGCTTATCTTGGAAGTCTCTGATCATATGGGTGGCTTTTCTCTGGACTCTCTCACGCTTTTCCACGTCCTTGTTGAAGTGCAGTTCCCAGAACTGGACACAGTACTACAGCTGAGGTCTCACCAATGCTGAGTAAAGTGGAAGAATCACTTCCTTGGACCTAACTGTTGTGCAGTTAAGCTCGCAATCCTCCAATTTTCCCATGAGAACATCATGGGATACCAGATCAAAGACCTCTTGGAAGTCTAGGTATACAGTATCGATCTCCTCTCTCTTATCCAGGTGGTGAGTTACCTGGTCATAGAAGGAGTTGAGATTGGTAAGACAAGGCCTGCCCATGACAAAGCCATGCTGGTTGTCATTCAGAATCCTACCTCCTGCAAGCGTATTGCATATAAACTCCTTGATGAATTTTTCCAGGATTTTCCCTGGGATAGAAGGTAAGCTAATTGGCCTATAGTTGCCTGGGTCCTCTCTGCTCCCCTTCTTGAAGATGGGCACAACATTGGCCCTCTTCCAGTCTTTAGGGACCTTCCCAGAGTGCCACGAATTTTGGAAGAGTTTTGCCAGAGGTCTCACGATCGGCCAGCTCCTTCAGCACTCTCGGATGAAGTTCATCCGGTCATGCTGACATATAAATGTCTAACTTTTCTAACTGATCATGCACCAGCTCAACGTCAACAGTAGGAAGGCAGTCATTCCCACCATGCCTATTCTGAACCTTATCTGGTATGATTTTCCTCTTAGTTCGGTGAAATACTGATGCAAAGTAGTCATTCAGGAGTTCAGTTTTTTCCTGAGTGTCAGTAACCAGCAGTCCTGAGTTGTTAAGCAATGGCCCCATGCTTCCATTTGTTTTCTGCCTCTTTCCTACATACCTAAAGAAGGACTTATTGTCCTTGATTTCTGTCACTAGTTTATATTCAGTGGCCACCTTAGCTTTTCTAATTTGCAGGCCATTGTTGTATAGTCCTCCTTGCAGACTGTCCCAAGCTTCCATTGTTTGTATGCCTCTTTCTTCTTTTTCAAGAGGACCATGTTGGGCCAAGAGGGCTTACCAGCCCTTCTACTACATTTCCTCCACATGGTAATGGACTTCTTTTGTGCTTCAAGGGTCATGTCCTTGACGAACGACCACTCTTCATGCACTCCTTTCACCATCGGTCCTTGGTCCTGCAGCGCTTCCCCTACTATTGCCCTGAGCCTGTTGAAATTAACTTTTTTGAAGTCCAAAAACTTCAACCCTGCTAGCTGATTTGCCTGCCTTGTGATGGACAGTGAACATGATGGTGTTGTGGTTGCTGTCATCCAGGCTACCGTCTATATCCAAGTCACTCACCAGATTGTCTCCTTTGGCCAAGACCAAGTCTAGGAGAGTATTACCTCTGGTTGGCCTGTGCACTTCTTGAGTCAGGTAGAGCTCTTCGATACAGGTCAGGAAGCAACACAACCAATCTGACTTATCTCTTGGGAGGAGCACTCAGCTGTCTGGGTAATTGACATCACCCATGATGATCATGTCCTGTGGATGCATGGCCTTTGCCAGTTCTTGAGAGAACTCCAGATCGAGCTCCTCCCCTTGGTTTGCTGGTAGGTGTATACAGCTACAGTTAGGTCTCTCTCACCATGCCCCGCTCCCCGTAGTTTGACCCAGAGAGTTTCAAGTCGCTCTTCTTTGGAGCCGATGTCGGCCTCCAAGGAGGTATACTGCTCCCTCACGTAGAGAGCTACACCTCCACCTTTCTTCCATGCTTTATATAGTTACCTAATTTGGCTTTATATGCTTTTAGATGATTTATATAGTTACCTAATATGGCAGGTTTTGGGGTTAGAAACAGAACAAGATTTTTTGCAAGGCTCCCTGCCATTGTGGGCTCCGCCATACGTTGTTTCCGTATTAATGATTGTTTATTTATCTCTTGGACTTATGGTCTCATTCTGCTGTTCTATTTGGTATTTTATAAATAAGATAGTCTCCTAGTGAAATCATTATCCCATTTCTTCTGATTGTGTCCTCTTCTCACGTGCTTGGGTGTTGAATTCCACCCAAAGATGGTTTAATGTAAAATATTTCACACATTTTACTATATTCATGTGTTTAAGAATTTGATAATTTTAAAACTGTTGCAATTTGTACGGTATTTACTTTTGCAAACCAAAATGCATGTCTGCCTTACTAGAAAAATGTGAAAGAATGAATGTACTGACACTTTCAGTTACAAGATCTTGTTCTTCATTAAATTACCTCCTTAAAAAAGTGCAGTTGGGGACCCTTGTTGAAGCGTTTGAAAGCAGCCAGCGTGGTTGTGGTATTGTGGTCTCCAGACACACAAGCTCAGTACAAAGACCATTTTTATAAGTAGGTGTGTTTCTTCTCTCTTCTATTTCTTTCTGTTCCTTTTATTGGCATGTCTACACTGTATCCACTGTGTGTTCAGGAAACATGTTTTGTTTACCTATTCTTGCTCAGGGTGCACGAAACCCCAGAATTAGGCAGTGTATTTGGTTTAGCAAAGCCCAGAACTTCTCTTGGACTCCTTATCTTGAGTGCTGTTGCCCAGTGCCTTGCAAAACTAGCCACCGGGTCTGATATCTGGGGCTTGGCACACACTGGGTGCATCTACATGAGACGCTACATAATGGTAATAATGCACTATGGTGATGTAGGGTTGGCAGGCACAAACCATGAGGCTATGTTGTCATAGCAATGCACTTTGCTATAGCGCATTTCTATGGCAAGGTAGTGGCTAAAAATAACTGTACCACCAGCATGATGCTTTATGAGCTGTTACTGTGCCATGCAGTAACAACGGCTCTGTAGGGGCACATGTAAATATGTGCAGTGTGTGGGAACAAATGTGTGAAGTGTACTTTTTAGTAGTTTTTCATACTCCCAAGAAAGCAGTATAGAAATACCTTTTGTTTACTTTCTGCCAAGGGAGTAGTAGAATTTATTTTCAAACTGAAGGACTACCATACTGTGTTGCTTTTGCTTAAATTTCACATTTGACAATGGATTTGAGACTTGGGGGTGAGGGGGGAAGCACTGTTTCTTTCCATTATTGTAAACATTTGAAAACTTGTACATTTTAAGGAACATGTTATACTTAATATAAAATCGATTATCATCTGAGTTGTAAAAATGTTTGTTTGGTTGATAACAAGACTTCATGCTTCTATATTCAATAGGCCTGACTGCTCTGAATATACATCAGCGTAACTGTTAACTTTAGTAGAGTTATGTTGACATAATTGTGAAGGAAAGTGAAGAATTAGGACTATAGCCATGGTATTAAAATTTACCATGGTTTGTCCCCATGCACATAAAGTTTATCTGACCTTTAAAATATAAATTGACTTTAGTAAATGCAACTTATGGTACTGTATGTATTATTTCTGAATTCATTTTTCTCAGCTATTTCACCTGCTGATGTCAATTATGGAGAAACCTTAAGTACACTGCGATATGCAAATAGAGCCAAAAACATCATCAACAAGCCTACCATTAATGAGGATCCTAATGTCAAACTAATTCGTGAGCTGCGAGCTGAAATAGCCCGATTGAAAACCTTGCTTGCTCAAGGGAATCAGGTTAGTTTAACTTGCTATTTAAGTATAATTGTTTCTGAGTAATAACATCTTTCTAGATCATAAACAGAATTATTTTTTGTTATGTTAATATTAATAAACAAACTGTATCTGAAGGAGTGAGTTGTCTTTCTTTTTAGAACTGGTTTCTATTTGGCTCCTATGCCATCTCTGTAATGTGTTAAAAAAAATTTAGTTTGCCTGGATAGGATCAGAGCTTTCATTATAATATATTCCAGATAAATTTTTAATGCAGCATCCACCAACTAACATTCAAGAAATATTTATAGCCAGCTAGAGAGGTGGAAAAGATGCCTTTGTTAAGTATTGATACTGTTCTATTATGCTAAGTATAATAAAATATTTTAAGACATAGTTTGCAAATGCAGGTTGAATTAGATTTGAGATTTGTAGGTATTTTATATCATAAGGAACTTTAGGGTGTTTGCTAAGTTTTGTAAAAGTAAAAGCAACTTATTTGGCTGTATGGTATCAAGAAAACAAAAAGTACGCTTAGCAAATATTTAAAAGCATCTTTAGGTGCATCTACACATGCAATTAATGCAACTGAATAAAATCTGGTGCATTTTGAGCCAGAGTAAACTAATCTGGATGTCACCATCTACACATGCATTTAAGCACAGCAGTATACTCAGTTGTCGGATAGTACTAGTGTCTGATGGGACTATCCAGTGGCTCAGTTAATTAATCTATATTGGCCTACACCGCACATGTGTAAACTGTGATGCTTTACTGTACAATAGATTAATCTACTGCACAGTAAAGCGCATGTGTATACGTGCCTTGTGATACCCTATGTAATGATGAGTGGGTTAAAAACTGAGAAAAAGAGATCAGTTGTCTGTTAAAGTTAAGTCAATCATTTTTGCACATTTGCTCAATCTAATCTGAACATTTAAAAGGTAAACTCATTTTTTTTTAAATTAGCCAATGGCTGTTAGTGGCTTATATTGTAGGAAGGTGCTCTTGGGGTACCTAATAGCAAATGGTAAGACTGGCAAGAATCAGAAGACATTTTGGGCGTTGGCTATTTATCTATTTAAAGTTTTTTTATATACATCTTTTTTAAAGGACCTTCTAACAATAGTTTTTGATAATGCCAGTCTTTTCAAATGATACCGTATTTTTGTCAAAGTGCTTGTTAGGTTCTTGACCTAATGTCAGAAAATGCCAGTGGCTTGAAGTATATTTTACTTTTTTGTTAGGACAAGAAATTCTGCTTAACTTTCTAGTTTGGGGACTGAATTAAACGTTTAATTATTTGGACTGTACTTGGAGTGAACTCAAGGGAATTGTCAAAGTATCTTCCAGTTTTACAGCTCTGCCATTTGAATAATCAAATCAAACTCTAATAAATATGACTAATTAAATAAGTATTATACTTTCTTAAATCTTCTCAGTGCAGTTTGATTCATTGAAAGGAACCTTTTTGGTTAAGCTCATGAAAGCTCTTATTAAAGATATAAGACTTTAAAATACTGTAAATTATTGTTAACACCATAAAGGTCACGTGTGTGCATGTCCTGACAATCTTACTCAATTGTGCAGTGCTTGTTGCATTAAATGCACAGGTGTATATCACATCATTTATAGCTATTATATGTAAAATGAAACGGGTCTCCAACTGCAAGATGGTATGATAAGCTGATGGTGGCGCTTGAAATTAAGGCATGTAGTTGAAAAGCTATAGTAGAATCCAGTGAATTGTCTCCCTCATTGTGCCATTATAGATTACTGTGTTTTTTTTTAAATGAACATGATTTGGGCAGGAGGAAATAAAGTGCATCCAAATCCCTGTATTTTTTCTTTTGCACAGTTGAGCTTTAATCATGCTATGAAATGATAATCAGGGCAGCATATTTCTTGACAAACAGTATTACTGACTTGCTACGATAGTTAAGTTTCATATTATTATGTTCAATACTTGTTGAGAAATAGGGTGAGATGACTGGTAATGTTCAAATCTTGTATTTCTCACAAAATATCCAAAGTGAGTATTGTATTGCTATTTTACTGTAAATGATAAAAACCACTTCAGGTTGTCAGGTCTTTTCTTTCTTAAATACTGTTTGACTTAATGTGCTCTTAAGTGTACATTTTAGACTCAGTTGAAGAGCTAGTACTTTGACATGGTTCCAAGTTACAAAGTAGTAGATATCAGAAAATAAATCTGGTTATGCTGTGGAGAATTCCAGAGAGTCTTTGTTCATGATGTTAAAGATGGCTGTGATAGAAAGAGTGCAGAGCCAACCTAAATTAATTGAATTTGTGATGCTTGGTAAAACAGCAGGTGGTGTAAGATACGCACAAGAGAATATAAATCCTTGTATAATTTCTTCTAAGGATAGTCTTTATATTCCCAGAATATTGTATTGCAAATGTTACCATGGCTCACTGAGAGTATTAGTTACCCAAAACCCAACACTAGGGTCTATTTGGAGGTTTATGTAACAAAGAGCATTGCTTAAATGTTTTATGTATGTTTTATTGTTTAATCAAATTTAACTTGATATATTTTGAAAAGACAAATGCTTGTAAAAGTCTGTCTGTTTTCTGAAACATAGGTGTGTCATGGATGTATGCGTGCGTGTGTGTGTGATATTATTTTTATTTTAAATTTATATTTTAATTTATATATCAGGTCTTGCTTTGCTAGTTAATTAAAATATCTCCACATAGTGTTTAATTTCTTTTGAGTATTTAAGTATATTATGCTATATATTTTGCAAATAACTATTTATTTTTTTACAATTTTAGATTGCACTCTTGGATTCTCCTACAGCTTTAAGTATGGAGGAGAAGCTTCAACAGAATGAAGCAAGAGTAAGTTATAATTGTATTTTTTTTTTGGAAATAAAGTGCAGTCTGGATACTGGAGTGGCAACAACTCATCAGGAGTTTCACAGCATATATTTTGGTGTTATCATCTTTTACTAAACTTCACTTTCTTGAATTCATCTAGCCTGAAAATCCTTCAAACTGATATTTATTCTCTTGTAAAGAAGTACACCTGCCTTTCTTCAAATGCTCAAATCCAAGATGAGGGGCTTCTTTCCCTCTGTTAAATGGAGAAGGGGAAACCTCATCTTGGAATCAGTAGTTTTTAAGATCTTTTAACAAAGCAAGGTAAAATTCATAATTACATGGATAAAATAATAGACTTGGTATAATTAATGTAGCAGTGCAAAGCAATGGAGTATGCAATAACGCCTATTAGTAGCAAAGTTTTTATCTGGAACATATTTTACAGTAGAGGTAGTATCAAACACCTGCTTTCCGTACTCTGTTCAAAACTTATGGCAAAGCTTGAGTGTTAGCTGTTCGAACTTTTTTGTAGTGATTTTCCTCATAACAGTATTTGGTTTGTAGAGTGGAATCACATTTGAAAATGTATTTAACAATTTCTTTGCCTCCATTTTTCTGAGCAGGGACCAGGTCATACCCCCCACTGGGATCTCCAGTGGTCCCAGGGGAGGTGCAGCCAGGACCAAGGTCAGAGAGGACCTAGTCAGGGAACTTCTGGTGGGACTGGGCATGTTCAAATCAGCTGGTCCTAACGATCTCCACCCCAGAGTGCTGAGAGGATTAGCAGAGGTCATTGTGGGACCCCTGGCACAGCTTTACAAGCACTTGTGGTGCTCTGGCGAGGTGCCAGAGGGCTGGAAAAGGGCCACTGTCCCTATTTTCAAAAAAGGGAGGAAAGAGGACCCAGAAAATTATAGGCCTGTTAGTCTTACCTTTGTCCTGGGGAAGCTCTTTGAGAAAATCATCCAGGTGCACATCTGCGAGGGGCATGCAGGGGCATGTATGCTTAGGGGCAACCAACATGGGGTCATTAGAGGCAGGTCCTGTCAGACCAACCTGGTGGCCTTCTATGACCAAGTCACAAAATCCTTGGATGCAGGTATTGCAGTGGACGTAGTCTTTCTGGACTTCAGGAAGGCCTTAGACACTGGTTCTCACCTCATTCTCATTAAAAAATTAGGAGACTGTGGTGTCGATGCCTACACAGTCAGATGGGTTGCCAATTGGCTGGAGGGCCACACCCAGATAGTGGTGGTGGATGGGTCATTTTTGACCTGGAGGGATGTGGGCAGTGGGGTCCCCCAGGGCTCGGTCCTCGGGTCTGCAGTGTTCAACATCTTCATCAGCAACTTGGATGAGGGGGTGAAAAGCACCTTGTTCAAATTCGCAGATGACACTAAGATGCAGAGAGAAGTGGGCATGCTGGAGGAGAGGGACAGGCTATAATTGGATCTGGACAGGTTACAGGGGTGGGTGGATAAGAGTAAGATGGGATTCAATACTGACAAGTGTAGGGTACTGCACCTAGGGAGAAAGAACCAGCAGCATACCTACAGGCTGGGGAACTCCCTTTTCGTTGGCACAGAGGCAGAAAAGGATCTTGGAGTCATTATAGACTCCAAGATGAACATGGGCCGCCAATGTGGGGGTGCAGTCAGGAAGGCTAACCGCATGCATCACGAGCTGGTCCAAGGAGGTGATCCTCCCCCTCTATGTGACACTGGTCAGGCTGCAGTTGGAGTACTGCATCCAGTTCTGGGCGCTGCACTTCAGGAGGGATGCGCACAACATGGTGAGGGTCCAGCGGAGGGCCACCTGCATGATCAGGGGGTAGCAGGACAGGCCCTACGAGGAGAGGCTAAGGGACCTGAACCTGTTCAGCCTCCACAAGAGAAGGCTGAGAGGGGATCTGATGGCCATCTATAAATTGGCCAAAGGAGACCAGCAGTCAATGGGAAAGCCCCTGTTCCCCCGAACACTACTGGGAGTAACAAGGAATAACGGCTATAAGTTGACGGAGAGTAGGTTCAGACTAGACATCAGGAGGCACTACTTCACAGTGAGGGTGACTAGGATCTGGAACCAACTTCCAAGGGAAGTGGTGCTTGCTCTTACCCTCGTGGTCTTCAAAAGGAGACTAGATAGACATCTTGCTGGGGTTATTTGACCCCAGCATTCTTTCCTGCCCATGGCAGGGGGTCAGACTTGATGATCTGCTCAGGTCCCCTCCGACCCTACCAACTATGAAACTATATTGGAAAGAAGAACACATACACACATGGATATATGCTTACGCAGGCTCATAAGAAATTAGGGCTGGAAGGGACCTTACAGGGTCGTCTAGTTCAGCCCGCTGCTCAAGGCAGGATCATCTCTGACAAAACTGTCCCAGAAAAATGTCTGTCTAACCTGCTCTTTAAAATGTTGAAGGATGGAGATTTTACAATTTCTCTAGATAGCTTCTTCCAGTGCTTGACCAACCTTACAGTCAGAAAGTTCCTTCTAATTTCTGGCCTGATTTCTTCTTCTGAAGTTTGAGGCAGTTCCTCCTAGTTCTGTTCCATACAGCTCCAGAAAAAACCCATCTCCATCCTTTCTGTAATTGCCCTTCAGGTATTTGAACACTGTTACCAAGTCCCACCTCAGTCTTCTTTTCTCCAAATAACACTAGTTCTTTCAGCCTTTCTTTGTAAATCTTGCTTCTCAGGCCCCAAGTGACACTCATGTTAATACAAACCAGTTTGCTGTTGGCCCTGTGTGTGCATGCATGCGTGTGTGCATATTCTTGGAGTATTTATATTTCTTGTGAATATTTAGTTGGATAGTAGAAACTGCTGAATGTTAGTTAATTATAATATATTATTCATGCTCTGGCAGTAATCATTGCTTGTCCTGCTCAGAAATGTTGTCCTCTCTGCGTGGGAAGTATATGGAGCATATTTTATTATCCTTTGTCAACCTCATTAGCACGTTATGTGATTACTATTTAAGATAATTGCTACAAGCATAATTACTGGATTACTGAAAATTCTTAGCAGATATTACAATGGTTACAGCTTTTTTATAATTGAATGGTTATAATAATGGATTTGTTTCTACAGATCTAAAGACTTTATTACCATATTTAAATTAACTGACAAATGTATGGTAGGTTTCTTTGATTTAATGAATTGACTGCTGTTTTATAGTACCAGTTTTAAATAAGTTCTATGCATTAAAAATTCTCCAAAAGCATTTGAATATAGAGGTGATGAACATAATCACTTGTTAATAGTTTCTTTAAAAAAATTAGAAAAAAGAAAGAAAATTGTTGACAAGAGTATTAGTCTGATTGTCAGTACTGAAGACCCACGAGGCACATAGAGCGGAAAAGATAGTGCATTTGTCTCTCAAATCCTGAGTTACAAGTGAAAATGCATCAGGTGATTTCAGTTTATTCCCTTGACAAGGGCAGTTGACCATATTTGTATAACTTCCATACAGTGCAGTTTAACTGGTAGTCTAGCTTCAAAGACCCTAGCAGTGAACTTGCAGGAGTTGCATGTCAAGAGAAGGTTCATTTGGCAGAAATGAGTAGGGAACCATTACTATTTCATAACAATATACATATGAGTTTTGTCAGGCATAGCGGTTTGGTCTTGTGTTTAAGCAGCTCATCGCTAAGGTAGGTTCAAGTGGGAAAAGATGTATATAAACCCTTGAATTCCAGCAATATGTTGAACTCCAGAAAAAACTGGGGGGGAGTATATTACAGATATTCCTGTTGTTTGGGAATAACTGCTGTGCTCCAGGTCTGTGAACAATTTATAATATCTACAACCTTGTATATATTACGGCAGCAATTTTTGGAGCCTGGGATGAGGGCTATCTAACTAAAAATATTAAATATAGCCTTCACTTGGAGTATTGGTTACGAATTAAATTTATGAGGTAAAGAACATAGTAAAATGTAGAACAGGCATATTCTTGTACAGAGATGCAGAGTAAACTTCCAGTTTGTTGAGTCAGGCATCTAAAAAGCTGATATGTGCATATTCTTTATTTTGTATAGTACTTATATATTAAATGAATATAAATCCCATACCCTATTGTACAAGATATATATAAAATATTATGAAAGTGTTTGTACACATGTATGACCTTTAAAGAACCTTTTTAAAATGAATTATAACCTGTATATGAATATGCATTATGATGATTACAGTTGATCGTAATTTTCTGCTCATTTCTAAATTTAGCTGCAGTGTTTGACTTGCTCTGTAACTGCAAGAATTCATAGGGTTGATTTAAGCACCATATGACATTCTTTCATTTGTTCTGAAAACACCTGCCATTGTTTTAAATGGCTATGTCCCTAGTTCCCTGTTTTTATGTAACACTGAAAATCAGAGTTTTCATAATCTAAATATCTTTTCCACACTAAAAAAATAGAAATCAGAAGTATGAGAGATCACTGATACTGTTTTTCATCATTCTGTATATTGTAGAAATAAACAGCTAAAAACAAGTATGGGAGTAACATAGATCTTATTTTGTTTTGTAGAAGTTGTGTGACCACTGTGAAATATATTTTGAGCTGGACTATTAGCTCAAAATAATCTGAGCTAGACTAAGTTACAACAGGGAGAATACTTCTACATATGAAGGCCTCCTCTCAATTTGGTAATTTGCTTTACTAGAGAATCTTGCAACAAGTTGGAAAAATATTCACTGATGACCTTAGTTGTTTTTTTTTATGTAAAACTTTGACAGTATTTCAAAGAAAAGCTTTATTTAAATATAGAAAATTATTTTTTTAATTTTATTTTTATAGGTACAGGAGCTTACCAAAGAGTGGACAAACAAGTGGAATGAAACTCAGAACATCCTAAAAGTAAGGATTTTCTAATTTGATAATATTTAACTGGTCTTGCAGATATGGAATTTTCCTTTAATGCGATTCTTTCTTACTAAACAAAACTTACTGGTCCTAAATCTGATGCAGTTATTTGGGATTTAGATTTTTCAGTTAAAAAAAACAACAAAATGAAACAAACACTTTTCTGATTATGCTGGATAATTTCCTTTTTGGACTTGACTATTTCAAATGCTGAATCTTTTACCATGTTGACTATGAAAACAAATCCAAAGAAAAACCTTCATCTCCCTTTTTGCTGACTTGTTCCATGACAGCAGCTGGCACATTTTACTTTGTGTTATGTTAGAAGATGCTGTGACAGCCTTTTGGATTTGTCTCTGGATTTTTTTATGTACGAATCTGGAAGTATTCAGTAGCAGTCATTACAATGTAGCGTTGCAATATAGTCTACCATTATCTGACTTTCCGAGCTTAATTTTTTAATTTTTTTCATTTTGTTTCTATTGCCTACTCCATGACAGACTACATAAAGATTAATGGTCAAGATTTATATGAAAGCCTTGCTGCTTAGAGGGATGGTGTTGCAAGTGTTTTGAAATTATTTTGCATTTGATAACATATCTGAAGAGTCACATCCATTCTATTCACTTGAATTCAAAGAAAGTTTTGTAAGCTTGACAGAAGACTTTTAATGCATCACCTCATTTCTCTTGGCCTCTGTGAATATCATCGTAACTGTTGTTTCTAATCAGAGCAAAGAAGCCTTAATGTAAACTTTTGTCTCATTCTTCTTTGCTAGATGTTTCTGCTGGTCTTTTTATTGGTGATAGTGATGGTCTGGTTGGATACTTTAACAAACTACCCTTCCTGTATTTTAAGATCTAAGCTTAAGAATCTATACCCATCTTTATCTCTTACAGAATCTAACATAATGTTTCTTGTAAAATATTGTTGTGTGACATTAAATTTCATTTTATTTCTGGATACACAGTATAACCTCATAATAATAAAAACCTATGGGACTGGGAGAAAAGTTCACTAAAAGAGCGTGCTTTTTCTAATAGGGTTAGACAGTTTGCTGCATCATAATGAAGTCACTTTCTGCTGTTAGAATTGGTAGAAACAGTGGTTTGTTATAAACAAAGTTTATTATAAGTCATTTATACTATATTACTGCATATGCTGAATGTGAGGTTGCTGGAAAGTTCTGAGTGTAACTCAAGCAAGGAACTGATACTAGAACTCCATCTCCTCATTTAATTTGCATCACTTTTTAATACTTTTAATTTTACATCATAAGAAATAAGAGGCTCAGGAGTGAATTAGCTGATTTCCAAATAACTCTGATAGCTCTGTGCTTCAAAATAAATAATAAGTAGTTTGGAGTGCAGTGCAGAATTGGAATCTGCCTGGCAGATGGCATGACAGAATGGAGTGATTTTGTTTAATGTCTGTCCAGAGATTGAGCTGGGAATTAATATTTGCATATTCCTCAGAGACTTTTGGTTCAATTTTCCATTATTAGCTTTTCGCATGGTGTTCTATGCATTAGTTAAACTGGGATTCTTTCATTATCCTCTTGCTTTTAACTTAGCTTTTTTTCCTTGTCACATAGAAGAGTGTGATAGTTGACTATATGAAATTGGTATGGCGTAGCATATGGAATGTCTGTAATTTTATACGGTTATGTAGGAATTGCACTGAGTCTTCAGTTATCTCGGCAGAAAGTACAGAATTATAAAAAGTCATTAATTGAACAACTTGCCTAAACTATGGAAAACTGTGCTTGCTACACAGCTGAATACACAAGACTACAAAAGGCAGAGCCAGATTTCTGTTCATTCTAGTGGTTCTAAACCTTTATTAGATTAATTCCTGGCTGCTTTTGTATTCTACACTTGCATACATTTAGTCATTTTATATTTTAGTATCTGGCCATAAGCAGTCAGTAAAACTCTCACCTTGTCCTGGAAAAATGGAAATCAGTAAGAGGCGTGTTCTCTTTTCTGCTGTGTTTTACACTGCTTGGTGCATATTTCTTTTTCCTGTCTTGTCTTTATGGTGTTCTTAAGTTACCTTGCTACGATTTGGGTGAGAAGGGGACGTTTCATAAGAAGTTTATCTGAAGGAGTAGTCTGAAATCTATATCTTGGATCCAAATGTAGTTTGGAAACAGCAGCTGGCACGGAGTTCAGTGGTCTGTGCGCTAAGAGATGTTTCTTGTCATGAAGTCTGAACTGTTTTTTGGTTTCTGGATTGATTTTTCTTTTTTTCAAATACTGTTTTTGATGACCTATAGAGCCCTAAATGTCCTGGAACATTTTTTGTCTAAGAGATGGGCTTTTGTTCTGCACATCATGCTGTAATTGCAGGCAAGATTGATGCCTGAGCTCAAGGCTCATCAGTGTTATAGACGTGACTGACGAGCATTCTCCAGTACAGATTTGGAAGCTTGTTTCTTTCTATGTCTGTAGAAGTCCAAATTTCATAGTCCTCAGCCTTCTAGACCTACCTCTTTTCCATTGCTGAGTAAAGGAGGCTCATATGATAAGGGATTCTGTTGTGGACAGTGCATGGAAGTTATTTAGCTTGTTACCTTTACATAGTTTCTGGACTATTTGACTTGGCTTTGGATAACTGGCCAGGTTTTCATTTCTCCTACAGCTTTAACTTGGTTACAGATGTTATGGGCTGCATTAGTACTATCACAAGTGAGTGTACATTTTGCAAATGGAATGCAAAATGTTACGAACTCATGAGCTTTGTTTATTAAGTTTCATGCTCTTTGGGAGCCTGACTATGGTTGGCAACAGTGGGGGAATAGGGAAAATTTTTCTTGTCACTAGAGCCCTCAGGGAATTGGGTGCCCTCAGTTCTTCCCCAGTAGCCAGCGAGGATATCCTGGGAGGGAAAATAGGAGTTTGGGGAGTGCTGCCTATATGGAGAGCAGGGGAGAAAAGAACCTATGCAGTAGTTTCCAGTGATCATGAAACTATACCAGGGTTTGTTGCGGGTAGGTCTTGCTTAACCAATCTTACTTCCTTTTACGACCAGGTGACCTATCACCTGGACAAGGGGGAAGAGATTGATGTCATATATCTTGACTTTAAAAAAGCCTTCGATCTGGTATCCATGATGCCCTTTCAACAAAACTGGCCAACTGTGGCCTTGGCTTCACTGTGATCCGCTGGCTGGGAAATTGGCTCCATGGTCGGAACCAGAGGGTGGTGGTTGACAGAAGTCAATTGTTGTGGTGTGCTGTGACCAATGGGGTCCCTCAAGGCTTTTTCCTTGGGCCTGTATTATTCAACATCTTCATTAATGATGTGGACATTGGCATCAGAAGCGGACTGGCCAAGTTCGCCAATGACACTAAACTTTGGGGTAAAGCATCCACACCCAAGGACAGGAGGGTCCAGGCTGACCATGACAGGCTCAGGAAATGGGCAGATGAGAACTTGATGGTGTTTAACACCGAAAAATGCAAGGTTCTCCATCTTGGGAAGAAAAATTCGCAGCATGCTTATAGGCTCAGCAGAGCTTCGCTGGCTAGCACTACAGATGAAAGGGACTTGGGAGTCATGATTGACCACAGGATCAACATGAGCCTTCAATGTGATGCTGCGGCTAGTAAAGCGAGCAAAACACTGGCTTGCATCCATAGATGCCTTTCAAGCAAATCCCAAGATGTCCTTCTTCCCCTGTATTCGGTCTTAGTGAGGCCGCAGCTGGAGTCCAGTTTTGGGCTCCACAATTCAAAAAGGATGTGGAGAAGCTTGAGAGAGTCCAGAGAAGAGCCATGTGCATGATCAGAGGTCAGGAAAACAGATCTTATGATGAGAGGCTGAGAGCTATGGGACTCTTCAGCCTAGAAAAGCACAGGCTTAGGGGTGATCTGGTGGCCACCTATAAGTTTATCAGGGTTGTTCACCAGAATCTGGGGGAATGTCTGTTCACTAGAGCGCCCCAAGGGATGACAAGATCGAATGGTCACAAATTCCTCCATGACCATTTCAGGCTGGACATAAGGAAGAACTTCTTTACTGTCTGAGCCCCTAAGGTTTGGAATAGACTGCCACCAGAGGTGGTTCAAGCACCTACTTTGAACGCCTTCAGGAGACATTTGGATGTTTATCTTGCTGGGATCCTATGACCCCTGCTGCCTTCCTGCCCCTGGGGCAGGGGGCAGGACTCGAAGATCTTCCAAGGTCCCTTCCAGCCCTAATGTCTATGAATCTATACCGTCCTACTTGCAGTCTTTCCCATTTCTCTCACTCTTTTCATCTTTCCTTCAACTCCCATAAAGAAAGGGAAATAATTGTTCATTCCTACTTAAATGTTCTTCCGCTGCTGCCCATTCCTGGTTAGGAGGCACTTTTGCCTAATCCTTCCATTGGTACCTGGTTGGTAGGATCCCCTAGAAGGCAAGTCTGTGGGGGGTGGTGATGGAATTCAGAAGCCCTAGTGTACTTTAAGGAGGCCCTTTGGGGGCACAGGAGCAACCTATCCTGACACAGAGAAAGAATAGGAAGTACAGCAGGAGGTCAGTCATGCAAAATAAGGCAAATAAGCTCTTCAATGAGTTGAAACTCAGAAAGGGAGCATCTACAAAGTGGAAATTCTGTCATAGTACTAGGGAAGAATATAAGAGTATTATGTGGGCTTGCAGAAAGAAAATTATGAAGGCCGAGGCTCAATTTGAGGTACAGCTGGCAAGGTCATAAAAGGCAACAAAAAAGGATTCTACAGGTGTGTCAAGAATAAGAGGAAGACCAGAGAAACCACAGGTCCCTTATGGAGTGTGAAAGGCCATCTATTTAGGGATAATGCAGAGAGTGCATTTAATGCCTTTTTTTTTTTTTTACTTCAATCTTCTCAAATAGGGGCAGCTACCAGATGACGAGTGCAGTTGGCAGCAAAGATAGGGAAGGAGACAAATAGTCTAGAGTAACAAAAGACGAGGTTAGAGATTACTTAGAGATACTAGATACAGTACTTTCTAGTCTACAGGGCCA